TTTTATTGTACGCTACTTGTAGCCAATTTTTCCCGGCAGTCCTTTTCAGATCATCTGTCCATCTCATAGGAGGTCTGTCTCTGGGTCTTTTGTGTTGGTATGATCTCCAGGTTAAAATTGATCTGTGCCATTTGTTTAGATCGCTCCTAGCTACATGTCCAGCGTTTCCCATTTTAACTTTAATGATTTTTGCACCACATCGGTGACTTTAATTTTCTGTCTTATCCATGTGTTTGTTTTCTTGTCCTTAAGTGATATACCGAACATTGCTCTTTCCATCGCGTGTTGAGTGACTCTAAGTATATTCGTAATCTTTTTTGTAATTGTCCATGTTTGTGCCGCATAAGTTAATATCGGAATAATGCATGCATCCAAAACTTTAGATCTGAGATGTAATTGAATTTGTTGATTTCTGAGTATATAGTTCAGTTACCGACTGCTGCCCAAGCCAACTTTCTTCTTCTTTTTATTTCTTCAGTTTGAATTTCCCTATTTAGGATTATTTTTTGTCCTAAATATATATATTCTTCAACTTTTTCTATAACTTTATCGTTTATTATTGTCATGGTGTCTTAGGAGTGCATGACTTTTGTTTTGTTTAAATTCATTTGCAGTCCTATTTTAGAAGATTCGGTATGTAGTTCTAAAAGCATGGTTTGCATTTCTTGTAGGTCAGTAGCTATCAGGATTATGTCATTTGCAAATCGTAGATTACTGAGGTAGCGGCCATTGATGTTTATTCCCTTATATTTCCAATTAAGGTTTTTAAAAACGTCCTCCAAAACTAAGGTGAACAGTTTGGGTGATAAAGTATCTCCCTGTTTGACTCCCCTGTACAATTTTGCATTGCGTTTATTACGGCCGTGTGTTCTATGGTATCGAAAGCTTTTTCGTAGTCTACAAATGCTAGGAAAACTGGAAACTTGTATTCGTTACATTTTTCTATTAATATTTTTGTAGTTAACAGGTGATCGGAAGTTGAATAGCCTTTTCTAAAACCTGCCTGTTCATATGGTTGGTATTCGTCTAATTTCCTTGTTAGTCGAGTAGTTATGACTTTGGTGAGTATTTTAAACAGGTGTGACAGTAGGCTGATGGGTCTGTAGTTTTCCAACTTTCGACTATCACCTTTCTTGTGTAATAAGATTACTTTAGAGTTGTTCCAGCTCTTAGGGACTTTGCCCTGATGTAAACAACTGTTCACAAGCTTAGTTACAATTGCAATTAGTTCCTTACCTCCTTCTAATATCATATCTGTGGTAATACTATCTTCTCCTGCAGCTTTATTTCTCTTCATGTTTTCCAATGCTGTAGTTACCTCTGAAATCGTTACTTTTGGCATTATTTCTGATCCAACATTTTTTATTAATTTCCGTGCTGGTCTCATCTCATCATCTTGTTGATGTGATCTGTAAAGTTCTGTGTAAAATTCTTCTATTCGTGTCAGTATGTTTTCTGTACTTGTGATTTCATTTTCGTCTTTTCCCATTAATGATATCATCTGACGTCGTCCTAGTGTCGGTCTGAGGCATTTCATACTCTTATTTTTTTCAATAGTTGTTATTAATTTTTCGTTTTCTTTTCTTTTTTGTTGTCTGATTTCTTTTCTAATCTGCCTATTAAGTTCTCTATATTCGTCAGTTCCCCTTTTGTTAGATTTATTTAAGATTTTCCTTCTTTCTATTTGTTGTAATATTTCTTTGTCTAATTCATTGTATGTTGTTTTTGGTTTTTTCAGTTACACAAGGCTTTTATTCACTGTTTCGGTAATAAGATTATTCAAGTCATCAGTATCATTGGAGTTTATCTGCTGCATGCTAACTTGATTTAATGCATGCACTATCTTTTAATTAAATTCACTATTTTTGATCTCTTTAGATGTCCATTTGTATCTTTTTTCATGTATTCTTTTTCTTTCTAGTTTTTTGTTAATTATTAGTTTTGTTCTTATTAGTCTATGATCGCTTCCTAGGTCAAACTGATTTAATACTGATACGTCTTCTACTAGGTTTCTATTCTTCGTTAAGATATAATCTATTTCATTCTTTGTCTTTTTATCGGGACTTATTCATGTCCATTTTCTGCTTGGTTTTTTATTGAAAAAGGAGTTCATTGAGTACATGTTATGTTCATTCATGAAATTCAGAAGCATTTCTCCTCTATCGTTTCTTTTCCCGTAGCCATAGTTACCAAATAAATGTTCATAATCTTCCTCTTTTTTGCCCAATTTAGCATTAAAATCTCCTAATAGTATTTCGTAATTTGCTTTATTTGTTTCTATAGCTGTTCTTATTTCATCATAAAATATTTCTACTTCTTCATCGTCGTGGCTTTTGGTCGGAGCGTACACTTGGATCACTTTGAGAGTGGTTGTTTTATTAATACTGATGATGAGATATGCTACTCTGTCTGATATGGGCTTGAATTCTTCGAGACACTGTGTGAGGCTTTGTTTTACCAAGAATGCCACTCCAGTGTATTCGCCACCTTTATGCATAAAATGTGTGCCATTTTTTAGTATTATATACTTATCACTTTTTCTTCTGGTCTCACATATACCAAGGATATCCCATTTTATATCCTTTAGTTCACTTTCTATTTCTGGGAATCTATTGTCGTCCATCAGTGTTCGAATATTGTAGTAGCATAGCCAAATTGTCATCTTGTGGCAGCCGGGTCTTACCCAGGGATTCTTAGCACCCCCCCCTTACCCCCTTAGTTGTTTGATCGCTGCCGTGATCAAGACTCTGGGAAGTGCTGGGCACTGGGGGCTTTTTCTTTTTTGTCCTGTACATTGACTTGAAGGTTTGGACCGTTATCTCCTCACGCTGGTCCAGTGCGGGTTGAGGAAGGAAGAGAAGGATTTGGGTAGGTCTGGGTTGGTGGGTAGAATTTAGAGACTAGGATCCGCTTCTCTCCCGGAAGAGGATTGGGAGAAAAAGCCGAGCTCGCGTGGGCAGGGGCGCATCCCTGAAGCAGACCTGTCTTTACCGGGATCTTAAAGAGTGTCTACCCGCTACCCCATATTTACCCAATATTTTTACATATTTTGTAGAAAACTAAGCAGTGGATTTTGCAGGATAAATACTTATTTACATACTGTCACTGCCAAATCTTAAAATTTCACAGATAACTTATCCTGTTCAACCTCAAAAAATGATTCCACATGTTATCAAAGAATTAAAGCAACAATTGTAACGAAATTAGATGATTAGTTGGTCTATATCTGCCGTAGCGAACTATTTTAACGTAAGCAGATCATCATCGTCATCAGTAGCTCGACAACCCTTTCTGGGTCCAGTTCCTTGCTTTGTTTTTCGTGTTGGTATTCTTAAGTGTTTTCAGATCTTGTTCCACTTGTTCCTTGTATCTAAGTTTGGGTCTTCCCTTTGACCTTCTCCTTACTGATGTTTGCTTCATTATATGTTTTGGTGTTTCAGTCTCCAACATCCGTTCAACATGGCCCATCCAGCGCAGACGTCCGATATTTATGGATATTATGACCTTGGGTTCATTGTATGCTCTGTACAGTTTAAAGTTATATCTTCTGCTCCATATGTCATTTTCCTTCACCCCCTTATATATGTGTGTAAGGATTTTTCGTTCAAACCTACCTAATAGGTTCTCATCGTTTTTCGACAGTGTCCATGTCTCTGATTATTATACAAGGACCGGTTTTATCAGGGTCTTGTATATTTACTGCAGCAAAAAAACAAGCTCTTACACCACAACAGAAGCAATCAAGACTTAATTTGCTTTAAACCATCAGCACAAAATCAAGATTTTTGGGGTAGGGTAACATAGAGCAGATAATAATAGATTTAATCCTCTATATGTTAATAAATATCGAGCAGCTGGTCATTTTAGCGCCAATGTATGGGGATGGATTTCATCTAGAGGAATGGGAATAGTATGGCGTATTGATGGTAGGTTTGCTGGGCTGAATATTATATAAATCATCATGTTTCCCAGTGTAGAACAGTTGTATCCAGAAAATAATTTTATCCTCTACACTGCAAATATAATAAACCAGTAGCTCCACAATAACAACATTACCATGGTCCAGCTACAGTCCAGATTTAAACCCAATCGAGAATGGTGGGGGTTACTCTAAAACGGTTGTATCGGCGTAATTTTATACCTCAAAATGCTAAAGAGCTGTGGCATGATATACAACAGGTTTGGGAAGAGCTCTCTAAAGAAGACAATTTCATAGTTCTTTTCAAGCAGATGGACGGAATACTACAAGCTGTTATCAATGCTGATGGATAATTTTATTTTTACATACCTAAATTTAGTATAGCTTTGGTCTTCCAGACCCTCGAGGTTTTTGTTGCTTCCATTTTTTATTGATAGAAAAACTGTGGTTCTGCTTACGTTAAAATGTTTTGCTGCCTCTGATAGTGCCCAGTTATCTTTTCATTTGGTTACAATTCTTCTTCTTCTTCTTCCTTCTAGTATATAGGCTTTAAAGCCTGTTTCTTCTTCGATATTAGCCTCATAAATTGTCGCACCATCTTTTTCTTGGTCTTCCAATACTTCTTCGTTCATTTGGTCCATCTCGTGCTATTCGTGGTTACAATTCTTGCTTTAATATATTGTTGAGTTAAGCCGTTTGTGTTATTACTTAATAATTATAAAAAAATAAAAACTCTATTTTATGTAAAAACTATCATTTATAAGATAGTTTTTACATATCTTATACTTAATAATTATTACAATTCACGAATTAACCTATGTAATCAATTGTTGTTTGCTTGTTTATTTTATTATTTGTCTGTCATAATAAATATAATGTAATGTCAGAACAATCAAATACACTACTCAAAATGATCAAATCTTACTAAGAGTCATATCAGTTTTTTGTAGAAACCAGCTTTACATCTAACTTGAGTTCACTTAATATTGCTTTTTGTTGTCATTTTTTTATTTTTATTAAAAACAACAACTCTTTTGATCTCATCAGTTTGCTCTATAACGAATTAATTTTTTTGCCGCAGGTACTGCCCGGTACGCGTCCATTAATGCACATCTTGGTATTGAGCAGTCACGTAGAGATGACATGGAATCTTTAGGATATGTATTGATGTATTTCAATAGAGGCTGTTTGCCATGGCAGGGATTGAAGGCGGCTACAAAGAAACAAAAATATGAGAAGATCAGCGAGAAGAAAATGTCCACACCCGTAGAAGTTCTTTGCAAGGTAAGCAACATTTCTGTTATTTAAAGTTTACATTTTTTGCGTTTTCTTCTTATGTATATATTCCTCATATTAATTAGTAAAACTGTAAAGGTACGCGCATTATACACAAGATTTCATAAATAATTATTATGATGCTGTGTGTTTATAAATATTAATTGTACCGTTAAGGAAAAATGTTTATTTTGAGAATATGGTAATAAAACCACAAGATGTGGATAGTCTATGTACTCATACTGGCAACGATAATATACTAGATATAATATTCCGGTAATTTTGATGATGTAAATTGTATATTTCCTCATGAAATATGTCTTTCAACATACCAGGCTCTGTAGAAAAAACAAAAACCACAAAAAAAAGTTATTTTCTTTTATTATAATAATACACGGTTACATGAAAAGAATAATACTATGGCATCTTGCTTCTATAGCATACTAACCTTGCTTTGTTTTTCATCCAAGTTGAATATTTGCAACTCAACAAAATACTGCTAAGTAAAATGAAGAATTTAATTACTAATAGCAATGATAATATAAATTATCATTTCTTACAAAAGATTTATCAGATCGCGGTGTTGAAAAGCCTGCGAGGCCTTTTAAATATTTTGGCGAAATACAAAACTAGATCATTCACTAATTTTACATACTCCAAAAAACATAGGAAGTCCTATTTCAATTTGTAATTAAAATCATCATTATTTTATTATTACAATTCGAATTATAGTTCTTTATAGTGTTCTTCTTTTAGAACATAGCAATATTAATTCCTTTCACAGAGATGTATCACGCAACTATATCTTTTTCAATTTTTCTTTTCTTACACTCGGCTATTCTTTGTATTGAGTGACTATTATTTCACGTTGAGCCTTACCGTCTTAACAAATCCTCCCTTATTTTGACATCAATTGCTGCCACACCTAGACTTCCTCTAACATATTCCTTTTTATCGTTGTCAAGTGAATTTGAAAGAGAACTTGTATCCAACGAAACTAGTGGACGGAATGAAACTAGTCCAAAGGCTCGAATACGACGGTATAGTGTACGTTACTAACAGGTCTACCTACTACTCCAAACCATTGGTCAACAATTTGACGCGTAGTAGCAATCTTTTTATCGATTCTTTTTATAATGACATGTCTTGATCTTTGAACTTTCGCCTCTCTTCCATCATATCTAGAATCTCATTTGTCATCCACGATTTCTTCTTTATTTTTGGTGGTTGGAGAAATTTCTCTCGTATGTCTTTTGAAACTGTATGTAATTTTTCTAGCTCCTGGTCCTGGTCCAGCTCCTAGAAGCTGCTATAAACAGCATTAATTAATTGTACAATAAAAATACGTATCTTAATTTTCAACAATATATACCAAAATGGCAAAATATTCCAACAGTGGCTTAGATAAAGTTTCATTACAGTGACTAAAATACCTAATGCGAAATAATGTGAAGACTATTGAGTAATAAGCCTTATGAGCCCTGAAAGCTTTTTATAAAAAAAATATGAAGAACACATGACAAACACAAATTCGGCTTAAGCTTTTTGAATACAAGTTCTCTTTCAAATTCATTCCGCCACGACTAGTGCTTCCTTTGACTGCGGACCATTGTCATCAACGTTTGAATTGGTGCAGAGAACGGCAGCATTGACGAGAGCCACAAGACATCGGGTTTGCTGTTGAGAAGCATGTGCACAGGACAGTTAGAGTAATGGTTTGAGGCACTATTGCCTATAGTGCCAATTACCACTTGTGTTTATTCGAGGCAATATGGCCACTTTACTGCCTTATCTCGACGGCCGTCGAGACGTCCTTTTTCAGCAAGACAACGCGCGTCCCCATATTGCTCATCAAGCTATGGACTTTCTCCAAGAAGCTGGAGTTAATGTTTTGCCGTGGCCACCCCGTGCTCCGGATTTAAATCCTATCGAACATATATGGGATATGATGGGAAGGAGACTGTCCACTTTGCACCATCCTCCACAGACTCTGGCATAGTTAATACATGCAGTTCAAGTTGCTTGGAACGAGGTGCCACACGCAGACATCGATAATCTAATTTTGTTAATGTCTAGAAATATACAGAAGTGTATTCTGCTATAGGGTCGCCAAACACAATATTAACATTTTTTTGATTACTTCTTCTTCAAGTGCCGTCTTCGTTCCGAAGTTTGGCTATCATCAAAGCTATGCCTATTTTTGATACTGCAGATCTAAACAGTTGGTAATTGGTGCAATTGTACCATTCTCTCAAGTTTTTCAACCATGAATGCCTTCTTCTTCCTATAGATCTCTTTCCCATTATCTTTCCCTGTATAATCAATTGCAGCAACTGGTATTTATCTCCCCTCATAACATGTCCCAAATATTGTAGTTTGCGCTTTTTAACAGTAAGTATCAGCTCTTTCTCTTTCCGCATTCTCCGCAAAACCTCCACATTTGTTACTTTCTCTGTCCAGGGTATTCTTAATATTCTACGATACATCCACAACTCAAATGCTTCTATCTTTTTAGTATCGATCTTTTTCAATGTCCATGTTTCCATCCCGTAGAGGAGAACTGACATAACGTAACATCTCAAAAGGCGAATTTTAAGTTTTAGACTTAGATCTCTTCCGCAGAACACCTTTTTCAATTTAGTAAATGTGGCTCTAGCTTTCTCTATTCTGGTTCTGATTTCTTCAGAGCAATCATTATTTTCGTTGATAACAGTTCCCAGGTAATTATATCTTCTTACACGTTCGATTCTTTGATCATGCACGGTTATGTCAGGGAAGTTTTGTGGTGATTTAGATATTAGCATTATTTTTGTTTTGCTTATGTTAAGTGATAATCCGTGTTCTTCACTGCATTCTAGTATTTTGTTAATTAGTATTTGAAGATCTTCCCAAGTTTCTGCGATTAGTACCGTGTCATCGGCATATCTCAAGTTGTTTATTCGGATGCCATTTATCTTAATACCTATATTTTGATCCGAAAGTGCTGTGTTTATAATGTCTTCGGAGTATAGATTGAATAAGGTCGGTGAGAGTATACAACCCTGTCTTACGCCTTTCTTGATCTCGATTTCCTCCGTTGTCTCTTGCTCTATTCGGATATTTGCTTTCTGGTTATAGTAAATCTTAGAGATAATTCTAATGTCCCTTTTATCCAAGTTTTTTTCTACTAGCAGTTTCATTAAGTGATCGTGACGAACTTTATCAAACGCTTTGTTGTAATCAATAAAGCACATATATATATCTTGGTTTATATCTAGACATCTTTGGCATATGACGTTAAGTGCAAATAGTGCTTCTCTTGTTCCAAGCCCGTTCCGAAATCCGAATTGAGTATTACTAATATCTGCATCTAGTTTTCTGTTAATTCTTGAGTGGATTACTTTGATGAATACTTTTAATGTATGCCCCATTAAGCTTATAGTGCGGTAGTCAGTGCACTGTTTTGCATTTGCCTTTTTTGGTAAGGTTACAAAAGTTGAAAGTAGCCATTCCTTTGGTATTTCTCCTCTTTTGTAGATGCAGTTAAAAAGGTCGAGTAGAATATTCACTGATTCGCCTTCCACAAGCTTAAGAAGTTTTGATGTGAGCCCGTCTGGACCCGGTGATTTACCATTTTTCATTATTTTTATAGCGTATAATAATTCTTCTTTAGTTATTTCTGGTCCTTCGTCGCCTTGCAAGTTATCTATATTAGGTTCTTGTCTTTCATCGTCGAACAATTCTTCTACATAGTTCTTCCAGGTGCTAAGCTTTTCGTGTAGATCGGCTATTATTTCACCATTTGCGTTGCATAGGAGATTGGGATGTTTTCGTTTTTGTGTACCTGTCAGTTCCTTTATCTTTTTATGTAAGTTAAAAGTGCCATGTTTGAGATGTAGTTCTTCGATTTCCTCGCATTTTCTTGTATAAAAATTTTCCTTTGCAGTTCTTATTTTTTTTTCTGATTTGTTTGTTTACTTCATTATATTTTTGGCTGCATTTTCCCTTTAACTGTCTTCGCTCTTCCATGAGACCTAAAATTTTTTCTGTTATCCATTCTCGTCCTTTTTTCTGTTTCTCTTTGGTAAGCATTTTCTGGGCAGGTTTTATTATGGCGTCTTTTAAATCTTGCCACTTGTCTTCTACATGCGTGTTCTCTGTCTTTGTAGAAAGCATTCGTAAGTTATCATTGATATGTTGTTTTAAATCTTCTTTAATTGTTGGATCTTGTAAGCGGCTGGTATCTATGTGATCTATTTTTGTTTTATTTGAAGGTCTTTTGAGTCTAATGTGTACCCGCGCTATCAGGGGGTTATGATCTGAAGAAACATCTGCGCCTGGATAAGCCTTAACTGATCTTATACAGTTTCTGTATCGCTCATTTATTAAAATATAATCTATCTGATTCCTAATTGTTTTTTCCCTAGTGTGTTGAGGGGACGTCCATGTGTACAGTCTTCGTTTGGGTAGCTTAAAGAATGTATTTGAAATTATCATATCATTTTCTTGACAGAACTCTAAAAGTTTGTCTCCTCTGTCGTTTCTTTCTGATTACTAGTTATTAAAAATTCTTGACGTTATCGTTTCATTCTTGATGTAAATCTACCATATTGCCAAAACATTAAGTTCAAGAAATTATTCCTTCTGGATGTAACACTTCTAATGTCACTGAGTATATTTAAATAATTAAAAGTTTCCTTTTAGTATTTGTTTGCATTAGTTGGCATAATATTAAAAATAATAAAAATCGAGATAAAGTAACATTTTTTTTTATTTTTGCAAATGCTGTATATTCTGTGAAGCAACTGCACAAAAAAGTGAAAAACCTTGAGTGTTTAATACTATTTAACGTTTACAACCTTATAAGCAGAGGCATATCAAAATGATTCGATATTCAATTCTTATCAGGAAGGTGTGTAGTATTTTATAGGATATAAATAATTATTATTATGATAATAATAGCCTTGAGTGTACATGTATGTAGACACGTGAATGTTCTTTTAATTTTATTTATTTTTCCTTAATCGTGC